GATGGGGACAGAGTTGGCGACAGCGCCGGCGATAGCGACGGCGACAGCGCTGGCGACAGAGCCGGTGACAACGATGGGGACAGCGACGGCGACAGCGATGGGCTGGGGAGTGGGTTGGGGTTCGAGCCGGGGGAGAGGCTCGGCGACGGCGACGGCAGCGGCGTCGTCGGCGGCGACGCGATCGGCCAGGGGTTGTTGGCGCACTCGGCGAAAGGCAGAGACTTGAGGGCGAGAGTCTTAAGGATGGTGCGCATGCCAAAGGACGCCTGGGAGGGGCAGGCCTTTGCAAAGTTGGTCGAGGTGTACTCGATGTTCCAAACAGGCTTGCCGATCGCCTTGGCCGGGCTGTACATGCCGCACTCGCTGTACTGGGTGCATTGCCTGCAGGGGCCGTCACAGGGGTTGCAATTGCGGGTGTTTGTGGATGTGTCAGTTGTGTGCATGCCCAGGAAAGGTGTACGCAAGGTCAGGAGTTAGCCCGCAGCCACTGCACCCTTGCAACCCTGCCTCAGCACCCGGTGGAGGGGAGGGCAGTGAAGGAGGCTCGCCGGGGGAGGCTGGTGGTGCAGCGCGCACTCACTCGTTGACGAAGAAGTCAAACTTGCCGACCAGCTGCTGCACCTGGTTGAGGTCGTTCTTGAGCCCGATGGCCAGCCCCTGCGCGTGCGCCTGGTCCGCCAGGAAAGTGTTGAAGGCGGCCTGGTCGGCCGCGGTCAGGCCAACGCCGTTGGGGTTTGTGTAGCCGTCCACGTTGTCCGGGTCGACGGCGTCGAAGCCCTTGGACTTGCACATCGCGATGCGCGCCGCCATGATGCGGCGGACGTTGTCGGTGCGGATGTTGAGCCACCACTCGCCGGGCCAGTCGCCCATGGCGAGGCCCTTGTCGGCCGCTGTGAACTGGCCGGCGTCGCTGCGCCAGTCCTCGAAGGATCCGGCGCTGAGGGGTTTCAGGGCAGCGGTGCGGAGGGGGGTGGCGTCGCAGGTTTGGGGCGCTGGGCGTGACAGCGTGCCGGTGTGCGCAGGAGGTGACTGGCTCGAGGGTGCAACAAGGGGCGGGGAGCCTCCCTCAACCTAGGGCTTTAGAATCGCCCATCTGTGCAGCAGCGGCTCTGCAGCAGCGACTTTGCAGCAGCGACTTTGCCGCAGCTGCTTTGCAGCGGCAAAGCGGCGCACACGTCATCCTGCGGACCACCGCACAGGTGGTGCCCAGCGCGACGCGCCGCGCTCCCCCTCCTCGCGCGCGCCTGGCCATGACTAACCTGAAGTAACATACCACGCGCGCGCCCTGGCCGTGCAGCCAGGCCACAGTGGAGGCGGGGGTGTCCCAGCCATCCAGAACGTACACCTGGAGGGAGTTACAGGATCCGAAGGTGCAGGATGGCAAAGAAAATTGAGGCTTCAAGACATCTCTGCGATGGGCAGCTGCCTGGGGCAGGGACGGCAGGCCGCACCAGGGCGCGCGAGCCACAGCTGGTCACCCGCATTCGATGCTCACATTGACGCCGGGCTTGAAGTGCGTGGGGACCACGAACAGCTCCCCAAGCTGGTAATCAAAGCGGTCGGATAGCGCTGGCTGCCACCTCTGGGCGGCTGCGAGCCTGCAGCAAATGCCCAGGAGCGCGAGCGCAATGGCTGCCTTCATGTTGCCCGACCGCGCAACGGGCGGCCGTGCGCTGCTCTGCACTGCCATGCACGGACACCCTTTGCCCGCTGCAATGTGTTAGACCTCTCCAGTATGCTTTGGCACGTATTCTTTGACGCGGCGGCCTTTGCCCAAAGGTGGACGGCGGTCTGTTGGCTGCGTCGCAAGTGCCTCAAGAAATGGCGCATCAAAAATCAATGGAGCTCTGAAACCGACGAAAGACCTGTGTAACCAACAACCACACTGCGGCCTTCGCGTGGTCTTGTTGTGGCGCGTGGAGCAAAAATGATGTTCGCACCGATCCTCACTCGGGTGTCAACGGCGTTCGGGGAGAGGAAGGCAGCACAAGTTTTGTAAGAATTTACTCAGCATTCCTTTTATAACATCGATATGAGTTGGTCGTTGCTTCATGACAGTCACCAGAGCGCCGCCAGGTGCAAGCAGCCAAGTGTGAACAATGAGGACTATGGCCGTTTTCAAACGTTCGGGCAGCAAAAACACTGGAGGACGCACGTGGTTACATATCATACTGTACTGAGGTGTATGTGCCGTTTGTAGCCGCCCATCGCTGGTCCAACCAAGGGCGAAGGCTTGAGGAATTCTCGCGAGGCCAGTATCAGTCATGCGCGCGGAGCAGCACACCGAGAAAACCTCCATGTGGGTAGAGGGAGGCCCACGCGAAAGATAGATGTTGGCCTTGCAAGCAGAGCACTGCTCGAAGCCGCACGCTTTGATATTGTATAGTCTCTGCAGTGCCTGTAGGCCGGCCGGTCCAGGGTTGCCCTACTCTGGCGCTGGTGGTGACGGATCGAGCCAAGCGGCACGGAAATTCCTCCCAAGTAGTGCGTCGCAACGCATGGCGACCGCTGACGCCCTAGGTGACCCACTGAAGCTGGACGCCGCAGTGCTGCTGTGGGCCGGTGCCCCGATTCAGGAGGGTTTCATGTGGCCCTGGCGTCCCGCAAGGTGGTGCATGCCGTGCGTCTGCTGCCTGCACTGGCGTAATCACAATTACCAAGTGCCCAAACAAGCATCAAGATGCTTCCAGTGCGTCCCATGACAAAATCGTATTTGCATGGGCGGCTTGCTGCGATGCACTGGGCTGCTGGCAGCCAGCGCCCATCGCCTCGTTGGTTTTTTGTGCCCCATCCATCCCGCACTGTTATGTCTGTGCATCTCAAGAGCCACGAGCACAGGCATGCCCCAGTGGTCAAGAACAGGGCCATCATGCGTCGCGTTTTTCCACTTCACCTGCCGAAGGTCAACTCTTGGCCCTGTCGAGATTGACCGGCCAGCTGGCCAGACGTTGAGGGCGCGGACGAGGACAGCGGACGAGTACCATGCTGGGTTTGTGGGTGGTGGCAAGCAAACCTACGTCTTGCCTACTATAGCAATCATGACACGCGGATGCTAACTGCATTGCACGTGCCCAATGGCACTCTAGCCGTTTCCACGTGAGCGCCCTACCATGCTTGCCGACACAATGGACTACCAGCACATGCCTCAACCTGCCATTCAGCCGAGGCACCGCCTCATTCAGAAGCAAACTCATTCGCAAACCTACTTTAACACGTTGCAATCGGAGAAAGCGTGGTTTCACACATGCTTGCTGCGCGTTGCACCAGTGGTGCAAAACTTGGGATCCGGTCCGCTCAGCGCGTGATCTGCAGAGCAGTCACGAGCGCACCTGTGACCAAGATGGGCAAGCTCGAAGGACCTGTGGAGGTGACAAACTTCATCGAGGACATTTCACAGCAATATGAGAAGGTGGGCACCACCGCGGCGCTGCTTGCGCTGGTGGCAGTGGACGGATTGCGATGCGTGCAATGGGCATGCATGCGCTTGGAAGCCATCGCCCTGAGGCCTCCTCCACACGGGATGCTTGGTGACACTCAGGTGCACGAGGCATTTGAAGACAACTTCTGGAGGTGAGAGAGCAGGGGCAGCAGACAGCAGAGCGCACTGCATGGGGTGAATGTCTGGGCGGAACACGCTGCATCGGCGCCGTCACAACGCATCACACGGCCACTCGACGGCAGCGCCAGCACCTGGGGACGTGGCGGGTAGGGGGCGCGTATGACTTGCGCACAGTGGCTGGTCCGCATGACCGGATGGCACTGATTTGCATGGCCACGCATCACTGTCCCCGTGAAAGCCACTGCATCGCCTCCTGACAACCATTACCCTGCGCAGCACCAAGATGAACCTGGCCGGCTGCTCCAGCGAGGCCCTGGCAAAGACCAAGACTGAGTACGACGTAAGATGCGATGATAGGGTCCTCAGAAATGTGCACCTTGTTGCATCCACACCTAGTGTATGCCGCAACCACCGCCCTTGATACACTGCAAACCGCGTGGGGTGGCAACTCGCACCACAAACAAAGCAAGGTGGCGCCTCCTGTTCAATCCTTCACCTCTCCTCGCCCACTTGGCAATGCGCCAACCCTCATGATGACTCTTTTGACCCTCCAGTCATTCCTGGGTGATGCCAAGAAGCTTGAGGCGGTCAGGGAGCTGCTCATGGTGACGACGGG